AGAGGATGCACTGAATATGTTCCAGAAATACGTATGGGATGATAGCGACATCACACTGAAAGAAGTCACTAGATACCAGAGCGCGCCCGGTCAGGCAACCTCGTATATGGTTGGTCAACTACACATCATGAAACTGAGACAATATGCTAAAAAGAGACTGGGAAAGAATTTCAATTTGAAAGATTTTCATTTCCACGTGTTATCCCAGGGGTCTGTGCCGCTCGAGTTTCTGGAGCAGAGCATTGAAGAGTACGTAGATTGTACGCTTAACAAACAAAAGGATGGCTGTGATGACATACTCGCTCTGCAGTCTCCAGATTTTCAAGAAAACGGTGATGATAGTAACAAACGAGAAACTCTGGATACCCTAGAGAGAAAACTGTATTTTTGATAGTTTTTTCCTCGTTTCTTTTCATTTGCCGGCTTTTAGAATCGACAGGAAGATGATTTGGATATTTTTGTTTAACTTGTTCACTGTTTAAATTTGTTTGTATAGGATGCTTGTTCCATTGTGATGGAAACGGAGTGTTTATCATAATATTTACAACCTGTTTACCGAAATTAATGGGAAAACTATAACCAGGAATAAATCTAAAACTAAACGTCAAGAAAAATGTCTTGACAATAGAATGAATGCATTTGGTACTAACTACTCGGTTTTACTAGCCTTCGAAAATCATTCAAATATTTTCGGAGATCAGTACTCGGATCAGAGGTCCAGAATCTTCGGTTCATTTTAACAAGGGTGGATTAACCTCGAGTGAGCTCACTTATGGATTCTACCGAACAATGTTTTTAAACGCTTTGCACAGCGGTTCTGAAACAACATATAACGAATTAAAAGTAGTTTTTTCGAAATTAGAATTGAAATTTTTTTTTTGCATCTGAGCTACACTGATGACTACTGTCTAAGCGACAGTATGATTAGAGGAGCAAACCACTGTAGGTTTTTATTTTGCTACGGAAGTAATCATAAACTAACATGAACCGAACTTTCAAAGGGGAAAATTGTCAGCGATTGCATGTGGAGAACTTGAATAATTTTTAGGCCAAATTACATTATTACCGTGACGTTTGTAGTTCTTTTCAACAGAGCAGAGGTATAAATATTTATCTTTTGTGAGGTTCCACTTGAAAAGAATCGTGGACAGGAAACATTTGCGACCTCCTTGGTAATGTCATTTGTTAATGTTTACGACGCAAAGTAAACCAAGCATTTTATTTCATCACAGAAACAACGTAAACATAATCATGTTTCTATGGATACGCGCCAAACGTGACTCAAATGAATTCGAAATGAATACTTTGTATACGCAATAGAATGAAGCAAGTAAGTTGAATAAAAACATGAAAACACTCTTACAGTTCCCTCTTTTAGATTTGAATTTGGAGAAATATTTTCACGCGTTGCTAGACAACAAACCATTTTATGCATTGGTTTGTGAACACGTTTTCGGACGGCGTAGCTAACGTCACTTTTTTAATTGGGGTTTTCCACAACTGTTACAATGATGTGTGTCAGCTTCCTGTTATTCTTTTGGCTGCTTTAACCTGATCAATAACTAAATCACCTTTGCTAAGTAAGACCAAAAGTGAAGGTGTCAAGTAATGTAACATCTTCAACGTTTTTTTTTTGTCATCATTATAATAATATAATAAATATTATAATTATTATCGTTATCATCATCATTATCATTATCACAATATTTTTCTTTTTCAGTGCTCGTATAGCTTAGTGAAATTTATGTAAATCTTGATTGACTTCATAATACATAGAAAGACGAATACAGAAACTGTCTCGAAGCTTATAATTTAAAACTGGAAATGTTTTTAACTTCTTTTCCAGAAATGATCATGTTGATTCTGGAGCTGTACCAAAGCTTTACTTTTACACTGCACTGATGTTTATTGTTTCAGATAAAGAAGCATATTAATTCTGCAGCCTTTGTTGTTTATTTCGTTCTGTCGAGAGGTCTTCACTGTTCTGCTGCAATGCCCTGTTATTTGCATTTTTTTGCCTGAAGACTTATTTCACAACTTCTATAGCTTATATAATTTAATTTCCGTCGGATTGGTACCTGGATCACGATGTTTTTTTTCCGTTTATTGTTCCCTTGGAAACTATTGAGTTTTTATTTCTCCAAAATTGTAGTTAACTGAACAAAGGAAACTGAAGGATCCTATTCAAGTAATTTCTTTTTGTTTTCTGATCTCCAAAACAGATAATTAACAGCATGACCCACCTGCTTTGGGTGAAAATAATAAACAAAACCAAACTGATAAAGACAAAATACCACATTTCGAACCACTTGTGTATTTCTGATTTGTTAGTTCATGATTGTTGCTTTTGCTTCCTGAAAAAAAACTATAATTCATCTGTGACGCAGGGAATGGTGAAAGATAGCGGGGGCCTTTTGCACGGGCCCCCTCTACTCTTGACAAAAAAAAACAAAATCGACAAGACACCTGCAACACTTTTCGGAATAATTAAAACCATCTGTAATTAAGCACACAGTACTTTCGCCAAAACGAGACAAGGCAATGCAAGGCAGCATGCTTATTAACAAGCGTCGGTGAAAAACGCTGTCAACAGTACAAGCGGCAACGTAAAAGAACATCTTAAAGGCGGCATCCAAGGGAAAACCTTGGAAAATATCCACCAGTGTTTTCGCCCATCTGGTAAGTGTCTTCGCATAACTGTTTATTACAGCTCGGTGGCGTCGTTTGTTATACAAATCTTAACATTAGTACGAATTTACTTCGCTGTCGCAACCACTCGAAATGGATTTCCTACAGAGGTAAATCTTGAAATTCAACTTAAAGCCGCGTTGTTAGAGAGATATCTCTTGTTCATTGAAAACAACAACAATATACCACCTTTCATTTTCTTTCGCTTTGTTGTTTAGTAAACCATTTTTGGAAATAAGTTTCCTTACTGTGAAAATAATCAAAATTTAAGCGGTGAGACCAGTGGAATTGCCTCATTTCTGATTCGAGTTGCGCGTGTTTTCCTCTACTTCCTCAATCCCTAAAACTTCCGATTTTCAATGTTTTACCGCAATTTACTTAGTAGAATTCTTGGTTATAAAGTGTTTGTAGCCATGGAAACATTGTAGAAAATATTCCCGGCGCTTAGGTAACAAGGTTTATTTTCTAATTTAAACCCCGCCAGGATAGGCCTAAATTACTTGTTTCAAGAAGAAATGAATGTAGACTTGCGCTGTGTAAAAGATAGCCGGAGACAATGCATTTTCGCCTTGCTGTTGGCTGTAGAGCCGTAATATTGACCGTTGTCTCCATCTGCTATGCGCGGTACTTCAGCCAACTCTGATTCACTTTCTATCATCACTTGTTTAGTTTCGTTATTGCGTGATAGTTGTGATCAGAATATAGTATCTTTTATCACAGATATAAAACGATTGATTAATGTCTTTAATTTATGAAGGGGAAGGTTTGATTCCTATCCGTAAGATCACCATCTCTAGCCGGTAAGTTTCAAACCGGTTGTCAGATATCCAGTAGCTACGGCTAAAATGCGCCTTAGCAGCAAACCTCCTCAATCATAACTTACTAGGAGTGTAAAGTAAGCTTTAAAAACAGGAAATTTAAAACTGGAATTGAGTAAACAAACTCGAAAAAACAGTGCCCATGCAAATTTTATAATGAATGCGTGGGAGCGATACTGAATACGACTCTAATTCGAATGTGGTTAAAAATTATAAATTGTTAACAATATGAAAAACAAATGTAAGAGAAAAAAGAAGAAAACTACTATTTGTAAGTCCTTGCCGTGTTATATCTCGAGAACAAGCAAGGAAATACGTCTAATATCAATGACGTATAAAAGTCATAATTCTTGTTTTATTAACATCATATTTTCCCAGCCATCTCTCGTCTTGCTCTCGAATTTCTTGTGTAAATTTGATGAACATTTTCTGATGGTTGTACACGTGCCATTTCATACAATGGCGCATAAAAACAAAGGGAACGTACCATAGTACATGATTTAGAACTCTAGTTAAATGAAAGTACGAACATTTTCATAGAAACTCTCTCTGCGAAAATTAAATTGCAAAATTGATGAGACTTCCGGCGAAATGTCTATGAAAAAATTCCCCTAATCATCACGGAACCTAAACTAATTTTATAGAACACCAGTAATAGCATACATTTTCATTTTTCTTAATGAAAGCCAAAATTTAGCTTTTTCTTTGTGTGCGCCAGAAAACTTCAACTTTTCGATCATCAGTGGACTGAAATATGATAGTACATGTTGAAATCTGATTTAATTCTAGAAACAAAAATACTAAACGGAATGTTTTTTTAAGTACTTGAACGCACCCTGCAAAGAAAGACTCACGAAACAGTTGTTATGACCAATCGGTGTGTTACTCAAAGCGTAAAAAAGGCGAGGAATTGCCATATCCAATACGAAAAAAATGATTTCATGATAGAAGTGAAAGTGACAGTCGTTCAAAAGGAATAGATCAGAGGAAGTCTGCATAGAATCACTTGATTCATGATCACACCTACAGCTTAACTTTAGAGTAGGAAACTAGACTATCAGCGGAAGAGGAAACAGTGTTTTTACTAAGCTGCTTTTGATTCTTTCGAAGACGGACCTAGAAATTGTATCATTGTGCTTTTGTTTTACCTTTTAGCACCGACCCATTACATTAAGTCGGTCGAAAGCTTCGTTTTATCTTAAAAATGAGAGAATTTATGTATTAGTAATGATTTTAGATGATAAAAAGTTTTAAGAGCATTGTATCGATTTTACTAAAGATGTGATAAAGATGCGTCTTATGGCTTGTCAAGCGGCTTTCTATGACCAAATGGAGATACAGCGCTCGCATTACAAACACATCAACATTATGTAACGGTTGAGACTACGTCTCACTATCGCCATTGACGAGACAGCTGAGAAACACTGACAATTCTATCCTCTCAGATAAAATTTTCAATTCTAAGTAGAACTGAAAATTACATAAGAGCTTCTTACTTCGGAGTATTTTGTTAGCTCTAAATTCACCTGTTTGAGGATTTTCCGTTCAGTTTTATGTTCTGCCAATCAAGTGTAACTTAAATGCCCTAGATTTAAAGGTATTTATTCCGGAGAACACATAACCGCTTTATAAGCGTTAGAGTAAAATTTTGTTCTTTCCACGACTATATTGTGATCTGAAAGAAAGTTGTATTTTTCTTTAACGCCTCTATCAATTAACAATTTTCTTCGCTCAACCTTTCTGTTGTTAGAAGGGAAGCTAACTTTTCTCCCAAATTGTGTACTGGAAACAGCACAATTTCTCAGCTGACTTTCCAAGCTAGTGAAGAACAAACCCTTAATTTGCAAGCATCACTGTCACAAGGATAGAGCGAAAATGTCTCTGATTATAAATTGTCACAGATCAACACACTCTCATAGCGGACTATTCAAAAAAGGGACAACGCTTGTAAAGTAAATTATGTAACCGTTTTGACCATCAACCATTGCTTAGCCCGTCAATTACTGTTATTGCTTACTAGTAACTTAGGCGCTCGGAAACTCTTCGCAGAAGTACGCTAAGAGCTCGAATAAAGATTAAAGTATTTAGCAGAGGTTCTCATCGCTAATAACCAGCCTTGCCTTCCGTTTCTCAAGGCAATATGTGATCATGCGAAAGTGCGTTGTAGCAAAACCCCTCTTTCGTCTTCCGTGATCTAAAAGAGATATTAAAACAATAAAGAGGGACTCATAAGTGCGAACGACCTAAGATTTTTTATCACAAGCGCTAACTGACTGTACGGAAGAGGAAGTTATCACTTAATATGCACATTTTATGCCGAAGCGAATTAAGAAATATTAGAACAGAAAAAAGCAATAATAAAACTAAATAGTCTCTTCCTGTTACGATGAAAGTCGGCCAGACAGAAATAGGTCTTTCTAATTACATGCAGTAAATCTCGACGGCAAAATTTCGTGATAGGCAAATTTCCAGAGCGATTCATTTAATTTCCGTCAAAATCATGATAGATTTGTATTTCAAAGGAAGAAAACTTTTCAGACGGAGTCTATTGTGCACCCAAATCTCCTAAATTAAAATAGCGCGAAGGTTGATTTGCTTAGGCTCCACAAGTAAATTGCTATCGAGGAAATGATCATCGCACGAAGTTAATATGAATAAGTAGGTTTAAGGAAGAGCATGTCTGACGAAGTTTGAAACAAAATTGGTTAACAATATACGGTAACGAAAGTCAATAACCGCGACCTAGGATTTTCATTTGCATCTCAAACAACTGTCATCGTTAACTCTGTCAAATGACAGGCGAGTAAACAAATCTTTTCTGAACATAAGCACCTGAGCCTTTGTTTGCTGTTGCCAAGGTAACGGAATCTTTAGAGAAGGGCCAGGTGGTGACGTCGTTTATAATCCATGGCGCGGACAGTGTTTGATGGAAAAAGTAAATGTTACTGCCGTGACAATTCGTTCTCTGTGTTGCATTATTTGACACAGGAGTTGTAAACAGTGTGGAGGACCGAATCCATGGCGGCGAAGGCAGATATTAGAAACAACGTGGAATGGAAAAAATGACCAGACAGCTGACTGGCTGCTCATTAACTCATTAGCACAGCAAGACGACCTGACATAAGCAAGAAACTATAATGTTGGGTTACCATTACAACGTCTTTGACTACATGACACAGAAAACGTGCATACGATCGCTTGGAAGGGTACAATTCTCGCTACATTCAATTGGCTCTGTTGCGAGCGCTGGTCAAGTCCTTCTATAGGCGTAAATTGATTTTGTTTTGGATCAAGTTATAATTTAGCGAGCTTGTCAAGTATAATAATGGTCTACTTCACGAACTACTCGAAAGGATACGTTGTGGAGTATGAAACTCCGTGTTTTAAAAGCTGGCTTCTACTACCAGCCGAGAATTTATGGAGTGATGGAGTTCGAGGATTTCTATACACAGTTGCCATGTTCTATATATTTCTAGGGATCGCTATAATCGCCGATATTTTCATGAGCTCTATCGAGGTAATAACAAGTAAAAAGCGCAAAGTTACACGCTACGATTCCGAAAAGCAAGAACGCGTTGAGATCGAAGTATTTGTATGGAACGAAACCGTGGCTAATTTGACTCTTATGGCGCTGGGATCTTCCGCGCCAGAGATTCTTTTAGCTGTGGTAGAGACGGTTCAAAATCTAGGAAACGTACCGGACGCATCACAGGAGGACAAAGATGGTCTTGGTACTTTTACCATAATCGGATCAGCTTCATTTAATCTGCTTCTTATCACGGCACTATGTGTGGTAAGTGTTCCCAGCGGAACCGTAAAAAAGATTCGCGAATTTGGAGTCTTTATTGTCACTTCTGTGTGGTCGCTGTTCGCGTATGTCTGGCTGTTGGTGGTGTTGAAATGGTCCTCGCCTGACGAGATCGAGTTATGGGAAGCGTTCGTGACGCTGAGTTTTTTTCCTCTTCTTGTCATCACATCTTGGTGTCAGGATAACGGCTGGTGGTGTAAGCGAGGCAGAATTATAAGCGTTGAAAGTCCCGAGGTAAGTAGATTGATATAATTTTAATTTAAGCACATTGTCCTGTTCAATTAGTGAATACTGTTCAATACAATTACAGCGGCAATCCGGTTTCCGTGAGAATTCGCAGTACTTCAACTCTGTTTACTTTTCTACTTATTTGTTTTCTAAATTCCTCTGTAAAAATTTCCACTGGCTATCGACGTCATTAAGCGAAATTCGTATTTTAGCGTTAACTTCAACCTTACGAAGATTAACAAATCATATACAAACGTTCACATTGTCTCTCTCCAAACAAACACACATCTCCTTTTCATAAACAACGTTAATTACAATGATCTGTCACTGCAACGGTTTTGTTTCACGGGATAGTACTATGTTACTCACGGAGTTAATTAATTAATTAAGACAGTTGGTGAGATAAGTAACTTTCAAAATAAAGAAGTACGTTTTACGGGGCTCAGTAAGATTGCAGTTTCTTTTGCTCGCTAATCAAGGCTGAAACATCGCTCCTATCCACATACGATAAAAAAAAATGCATTTTAATCTGTCTTTGACTGCTTCGTATTGATTTCGCTCAACCATTTCGAATTTTAATCATTGTGTTCACCACTTCTGCAGTTTTTCGCAAGTTTCTGGGCTTTATTTTCGATGATCACTTCTTAAAATTAGGAAGTTAAGCGATACAGTTTTTTTCTTGATTTATACTAATGAACACGAGTCACTAACTACGAGGATAGTACGCAGTATTAATTTAGAGCAACAAACCGCATCAGTTTGCTCCTTTCAATTTTAAGCCAGTGCAGTTAGTCCGAGACAAAAACCAAACGTTCACCATATTTATTTTCTGACCACATCCGAGGTAATCGGTAATCCCTGATTACATTCCAATTAAGAAGAATATTATTAGTCACTTTGTAAAAGCTTAGTTTGTTGCGTTTATGACACTCTAATAACAAATACGAGTACGATGCCTACAATGGAATATGATTATGCCATCGTACAATTTTATTAGATGATGCAAAGAAGAAAACCTCATCAAAATAAAAATTTTCTTTCTATTTTTGCCCGATGTTAACAAATTTGAGTGTTTACTTAACGTTTTCCTGTTATCGTCTTTGAGTCTGGATTTTGAAACAGTACCTGTTTCGATACAACCGAAGCAGAAGTGTCTGTTAAAGAATTTCCTTGCAAACAACAATAAGAATTTGTTTTCTTCGGCTTATTTCCCCGTGTGGTCAGCTGAGAAACTTTTTACCGCCAAAGTTTCGCGGGAAGACTTGATAAGTACAAGTTCTACAAAAATCCACGCTCCGCGCAAGCTCCGCGCGAGGGCCGCTGATCGCTTTTTGCAAGGCTTGGTAACGGTACAGTAATGGTTTCGCTGGATCACAGTTTTTGCTCAAGCCCAAGTCTTTCATCCTTCAATATGAGTGGTATAATTGAATGGTATAAGTTATGCTGCTCTTTTAAGCATTTCACATGCTGAACTGTTGGACAGTTACGTCAGGGAGTTACAAATTTCAGCTCGTCAGTTCTTTTTGACGAAGAATGCAGGGATTGGAAATTCAGACGCTATTTGTTTCTTTGTTGTTTAGGTTCGCGTGATTGGGCTCACAGAACCTGGGAGTCCAATGATGACTCATCGTTCAATGGAACTAAGAGCTTTAGAGCAGCAAAGATTTAGGTAAGCATGAATAACATTAATCTACGTTCTAACCAAACACTCGTATGGTAAATCCTCTTCACCAATAAATTTATCTATGCTATTTTTATTACTTTTTGTGTTTGTTGAAATAGAGAGTGTAATTTTCAAGAAATAAGGGCTCAAGTATTTCCTAGCATTACTTTTTTCTACAAAAACCTCCTCTATGAAATAAAAATCGTGTATTGCACAGAGTTTTTACGTGAACTGAACACTCTAACCCGCTGTCTAACTGGGAAATTCAAAGGTTCGGATATACCACCCTTCCTTTTAGTATCCTTGCCAAATGGTTGTGGTAAGGAGTGTTTTATCGGCCCTAAATTTCCCTACAAGAGAAAGAAAGGCCGTTTGCTAGCTATCAAAGTCTAGTATTCATACTAAACACTCCACTTTTATGTATCATATGTCAATTCCAAGTG